GATGAACAAATTCCGTCTCGTAATTGGCGGCTTTTTCCGTGGTAATTGGAAGCAACCGCGCGGCCTCTATTCGTAGATATCGAAATGCCGAGGAAAACGGAAACCGAGAGAGGAAGAAAAAAAGAATTAAAGGAGGAAGTGAAAGAGAGCGTTAAATGGGAGAAAAAAGAAACCAATGCTTCGAGTGCTCCCATCCGTGAGGGGAGGAAAAATGAAAAAAAGAAAAAAAAAAAAAGAAAAAACGTAAAAAAGAAGAGTACAACGGAGAAAAAAGAAAAGGACGAAATTTTTATTATTGTAGAATCGGCAAAGACCGATCGGCGAGAGAACGAATTAAAAAAAAAAAGAAAAAGGAAAAGAAGAAAAAACAAGAGAGCAAGAAAAGAAAAACAAAAAAAAAGAAAGAAAGAAAGAAAGAAAGAAAGAAAGAGCAAAGAAGGAAATTTCTCTGGGCACGCGCGAGTTCGAAAAGATAAAGAAATCGAGTCTAAATCGTTTTATAGGAGAACGACTCGAGAGCTTTCCGCTTTAACTGCAATTATCCTAACTTCCGAGGATCGCTCGACCCTTTGACCCGACCTTTTACCCGGTCCTCTCTACCCTTCCCCCCCCCCCCCACACCCCGCCACCCATACTATCGTTCCTTTCTCTCTTTCTCATTCGAAGAAAATTTCTGGCATGAAACTTTTCCTGAAGTGAGTCAAAAAGAAGTGTTTTCCCAGTTGTGTCCCGCTTCCCTTCCTCATCGAGAGAGAGAGAGAGAGAGAGAGAGAGAGATAGGGGACTAAGGTCTCTGTTTATCTCTCTCAAAAAGAGAGACGATGCGACATGCGAGACGGATTCAAACGTAAAGAGGCATATCCTTAAATAATGCATAAGATGAGACAACAAACTTTATTGTAATTTCCCTGCAGAGCAAAAACTTCAATCCGGTTTTCCAGGGAAGGATTTTTCTATCGGCAGGGAACGTTTCATCGAACTTTAACACGCATTATACTACAAGCGTTAGGAGGGAACAAATGATAAAATAAAAATTTGTTCGATAACAAACAAACAAAAAAAAAAAAAAAAAAAAAAAAAAAAAATAGAGAGAAAAAAAGTACATTTCGAAGTTACATATACTGCATGTACATATGTATAAAGTTTTCGCTGTTTAAATCAAACAGAATTTGAATGCATACTGCATTATGCGCACACAAACAAGCTCGAATAATATTTATGGAAATCGAAACGTTGAATTCGAATTTACTCAGTCTCCGGAAATAGATTAATTAATACGCTTGCTTAATTTTGGTTCTGCTTCTAAACGAAGCTTAAATTCATCTTGTTATCCACGGAACTGCGTAGATATGTCTATATATATATCTATGCTTGAGCTTTTCCAAAACACGTCTGTATAATCTTTAACTTACTTCTACGTAAATAGATATAAACTAAAAATAATACTGCCTAGTTTTTTTTAACTTACATTAACATACATTTTACATTCAAACTCTGGTTCAATGTTGTACAATAACGAAGTGGTGGGATGGTAATCGCGAGTGCGTACGAGGAGGAAAATGGAGAAGAAGTTGGTAAATAAGAAGGAAGAAAAAAGATAAAAGAAAACAGAAGAGGAGAGAAGAGATGAGGGAAAAAAAGGAGAGAAACAAAACGAAAAAAAAAAAAAAGAAAAGAAAGAAAGGAGCTAATAAAAAAAAGAAAATGAGTAATGACTCATAAGTTTTGCATAATGTTAATTATACGAACGGCGGGACCGTGATGCCGGAGGGAGAGAAACTGTCGGGAGAACAACACGGCAACGATATCGTCCAAGCCCATTTCAGGAAAAAATCGAGATACCGTGACGCGCAACCTACGATATTTGCATACAATGCAGCGATCGTGAGCTGGTAAGCGTGCGCATGCGTGCGCGCGCGCGCGCGCACGAACACTCTCGATGCACAAACAATAGTGCGCCCTTTTTTTTTTTCCTTTCTTTTTTTTCGTTGATACTGCCATGCAACAGAACGAGAAAGAGAGAGAGAAAGAGCACACGTGTCCGTACCGCCGTAACGTAAATCATACTACGAATAAATCGAAATCTCTCGTCGTGGATCGCGCTGTTCCTGGCGTTTGTAAGCGACAAAATGGATCTCTCTCTCTCTCTCTCTCTCTCGCGCGCTATCATAGTCCACAGCGATACCCTTCCTATATCCCTTCGTTTCATCCGTCTTATTGTAATTCCCTTTAACGCGTGCCGAGAGATCGTCCTCAATTTTTTTCTTCATCTCCCGACACTACTACTAATTCACGCGTTTAATCGAAATCGCAAAAATGCTTTTCTATTCTTTCCACCATTCAAAGTATTAATTCGAGAATATATTTTCTTTCTCTCTCTCTCTCTCTCTCTCTCTCTCTCTCGATACATACGGATAATAATCCAACGTAACACAGCGAGCTCGTCAATAAAGAATATCAAGAATTTTTTCAATTTTCGACGTATTATCGATCAACGTTCCCTTTTATCCCTTGTATCCGCTAATGAATATGTTAATTAGTAACGCCCCAACGTTTCTAAATCCCTTTTTCGAATGGATGATAAGAGGTAATCCTTTAAATCTCGTTCTTTTTCTCTTTAATTTTTTTCTCCTCGATGAATAACTTCAATAGAGTCCGACTCTCTGAATATTTTTTATTATGGCTCATTAACGCTTGAAAGAGAATCAATGTGACGACACAGTAGGAATGTTGCAATTGTCACGAGCTGTGTAATATGACGCTGCATTACGTTTGCGCCAAGAAGAAAGAAAAACGTATGAATCTCTCTCTCTCTCTCTCTGTTTCTCTCTGTGTGTGCGTGTAAAAAGAGAGGAAGAAAATATGAAAGTACGCATAGATGCAGTCGCGATATTACACGGTAAACGTAATACGACATGGCGTTACAGACTCGAGCTCGGAAAAAGTAAATTAGCATAGAGCTAGGAGATAGCTACAAAAAAGAGAAGAAAAAAAGAAAAAAAGAAAAAAAAACGGGAAAGGAAAAAAAAAGAAAAAGAAGAGGGCAAAAACGAGAGAGAAAGAAAGAGAGATGCGAAACGAGACGAAAGTGATTCACGAAATATGTCTTTTGTCGTTTCTTTTTCTTTGTGCCCTTTTCACTATTATACTTCCTTCTGTAATTTTCAAAAGGGAAACGAGAAAGAAGGAAATGGTCGATCGAGAGCAAAGGACGAAATAAAATAATGGACGCCTCGGTTACTAGCTGCGACGGAAATGAATAGAATGAGGGTGTCGGCGATAAAATTACAATCAGGGTGCGGCTCTAGCGATGCTCTGGTAATGATCGTGATTCGTTTGTCGAACGAATTTATAAAGAGGACAGACAGAGAGGGAGAGAGAGAGAGAGAGAGAGAGGACGATCGGGCGATTGTTCACCGGTATTCGCGTTAAATATGCGGGATAATTAGCAATTAAAACGCTGTAGGCAGAACTCGCATGACGAACGGCAGATGCTGCCCTTTCCCCTATCGATACCGTTTACCGCTGCGTGCTCACAAAACTATACCTTTTTATTACTCCTAATTGCAAGGATTCGTTAACACGTTCATTATCTCAACATCGAAGTAATCGTCGAGCCATAGAGCCGCATCCTTAATCAAGTAATTACATATATTGCCAAATGTTACGACACAGGTAATTACGAGGAAAATAGGAAAATTTCCAATTACTTTTGATTCCACTTTAATTGTCTTTGGGGCCCCATCGAATTCCGAGCAAACTCATCCAATTTAGGTGAGAGAGTACGGGGGGAATGGGATCGTTTATGACGAGAGGCCGAGGAGGAGAAAATGCAACTCCTTTATGGGAGTTGGCTCGTACAGGAGATGACAGGTACGTGACCGCGAGTATCAAACGAATCTCCTCCTTCTCCATCTCTTTATCCACGCGTCATGTTCCTCCTTCTTTCTTTCTTTCTTTCTCTCTCGAAGCTTATTTCAAGGATCTAATCTCTTGAAGGAAACGAATTCCCGCTCGTTAGAGCGACGAGAAGTAAGATCACCGATACTTGCTTTCTCCTTCCTTTCGCATCTTTTTCTCATCGTCCAATATAGGTAAATTCGAGAGACCCTTAATCGGTATGCCGATCGCGTACTACCTACCCTGTATAAAGTCATACGATCACTCGAAAAGAGCCATCCGTTATAGGCTTCATATTTCACGTAAGATCGTTCTCGAAGAAAATTCTATAAATAGAAATGGGATAAGAAAGCGAGTATAGTGCGCTTACGTTACCATATTTTGAAATTACCTTGTCATAAAGAGCTTCTATTTACCATATCTACTATAGTTTAATCGTAAAGGTACGTTGAAAGTTTCACGGTATCGACGATATAATGTCTACCCCGTCTAACTACGGTGACGTCTTAATAAACTTTCAATTTCTATCGATCGGAGTGGAAAATTTTCTATCGTCGGCCGAACGAACGAACGAACGAACGAAAAAGGATAAAAGAAAAGAAAAAAAAAAAGAAAGGATAGATAGAAACGAGATAAACTCCATCCACGAACAAAATAAAAGCTCGGCGTATCTATTCTACTTTAATCACTGTCGCACGGAGATTACCTATTATATCCCTTCGTTGCAACTATGGCATAACCGGGCTTTCTAGGCATCGCACGTCGCGCCGTGGAAAAGCACTTGGCTCGATCGACCCTGTTATTTCCTTTTTGTCTGGCGCACACTTCCACGTTCAAACACGACTTCAACTTGGAATTAAATTTCTCCTTGTATCGCACCACGTTATTCTTCCTCTTCTTTTTCCCCTCTATTTCTTCTTCCTCGAACGATAGAACGAACTCTCCTAACCGCTATCTTCGAGAGGAGAGAGAGAGAGAGAGAGAGAGAGAGAGAGGAAGGGGGAAAGATAGCTTAATAAATAAATGAAATTTGTGAGTTTACGATACAAATTGGCAATTGACGTTCGCTGACGCAGTTTCGTAAGACTCTCGTTACTTACTGGTATTTTTGTCTCTATATTGTGGCAGAACTCCGGCGACGAGACAACCGAGAGTCAGGTACACCGCGAACCAGAAATGATCCATTGCAATACGTTCAACTGTAACAAAAATAAGATGTTTAAAAGTTAAATGGGTCTCTGGAACTTTAACAATTTTTTGGCTGCTTTAACCAAGAAATGCCGCCTCCATCGAACGACTGAGACTTTGTGTGTTCTATGATTTCGAAAGAGGTTAAAAGAGGTTTGTTCTTTTCCTACGGGCTATAATGAGAATATTAGAGTTTTATCTTTTATATCGAAGAAAGGTCCGACACCGATCGGACTCGTAAAATTGTATTACCGCTACGTAGATATTCTCCACTCTCGGTGATACTCACGACGATATTCTCGTCGATTCTCGAACGAACGTATCGACGAAGGGTGGAGCTAGCTTTCTCATCCCTCGAAATCCTCCGCGTTCAGAGCAGTATCCGTACTCTCGGGCTCTGATCGAATTCGCGCGAACGGACGTTGGTATTAGCAGGCCATACGCGAGCAGCCTAGCAATCATCGAGCTCCTCCATAGTAATCGATCGTTATAATGGCCTTCACGTCATTGACAACTTGTCGAACGTTAAAGCCGAGCTCTGACGCTGTCAGGAATCAGAGAGAAACCCTCTATCGACGGCGAACTCGTCGATTATTGACCTCGATTATTCTCCCTGCCTCTACAATACGCGTTTTCACGAACGTACGTTATTGTCCCGTTCGCGTTTATTCTTCGCGACAGCTGTCGGACGTATTCGCGAAAACGAATTAGAAAGGGACCGAGGTGGGGAATAGGAAAAGGGAAATTTTGCAAATCGCCGAGAACAACTCGGAGAAAACTGAACTAAAGAGTCTCGGAGATACGGATGCCTGCTAATGGGGGGTAGTTGGACTAATCGACTCTACTATCTATTTTGCATCGCAATTGCTTTTCCCTCGCGACTCCCGAATAGTTTCTCCAACTAAACTCGATTAGATACAGTTTAAATTCAAAATTATACCAGTTTGCGTTTTACAAAAGTACATCCCCGTTTTCCTCTATGTTACCATGTGCCGTGACGACGTACAACATAGCTACCAAATTCTAACTAATCGTTCCCACCCTCGAGGAAAGTCTCTTCTTTTCGAGCTTACCGGACGAACTAAAATAAGCACAATCGGTAACGCGCTTTCATCCCCTCGATCCGAGTTAAACGCGATTGGTCACGAACGCGTTCCTTTCCATGCGCGTTACTTTTAGACAAACGAACATCTTCACGAAACCTCTTTTCTCCTGTTAAAGTAGCACACTCGATCGTTTATAAAACTTAACCAAAGTTTACCGCGTATCATATCCATGCGTAACGCGGAGGATGCCGAGAGAGCTTGCTGCTGCAAAGTCCCGTTAATTTCACGGATAAGGCGCCGCGCTGCTGGTGCAACGAGAGAGAGAGAGAGAGAGAGAAAAGTTTCCTCGGTTTTAGCCACAGATAATATCCATGGAAACTAGTGGTAAGGTTTGAATGATACTCCCATAAGCTAGCATGAGTTTCCGCGTTTAGGTTGCCGCGAAAATGCTCGTCGAAAGAGAAGATCGTCGACTCAAAGAAATGACTCCTTTAAGGTCTGTAGAAGACTGACAAATACCAACATCCTCTCTTGAGACTTTACACGCTAAGACAGAACTACACCAGAACGATACTACGCTAACGTTCGAGCTCATTTTCACCCAACGCTGATACTCGGATTATCTTTCTGCCTTTCTTCTCCTTCCGACCGTTTGCTAATCTATTCTACGATGATTACGTTGGTTATACAAAGTAAGAGTTTCGTAGAATGTAAATTATTTTCTCAACTAATAAATAACTAAATATAATACTTTCACCTTTCATTGATTTACATTAATTATTGAAACGTAAAAATCTCTCTATGAAAAAAGGTCATTTTCGATTTTCCCAATCTTTTTCCGGCTCGCTGGTGAAAATAAAAAAGTAAAGGGAAATAGTAACGTATGCGAATAGACAGTCGTATAGGTAGTATACTGGGTGAGTAAAACGCGTCCCTTCCGGATTTCGAGCGAATTCGGCGATTTGACTCGATTTAACAAACCGCACGCTCCACATACATATATTACGAGAGCTCGGTGTCCGTCGCACATTTCCAAGAGAAACAGAGAGAGGTAGGGGGAGAGGGGAGGGAGGGGGAAAGGGAGGAAGAGATAGAGGTAAAACGAATCTGTTTGATCCCTTTGGATCGTATCGTGGGATTTAGGAAACAAGCGTGACGCAAACCGCAATCTGACCCCGTGAATTAACCCTTTTACCATCCCTTCCCCTCTCTCACTCGTAAGATCTATTTTCCACTTTGTTCGGCCGGTTAAATTCCGCGAGTCTTCTTCGTGAGATACATACACACACGGCTGGTATTTCATATTTCGTGCGGAAACTCGTTTCACAATTAGCCTCTTTCTCCAGCTGTACCCTTTCGAAAGATAGAGAGAAAGGGAAGGATGCCGAAAGCGGCGATGCGATGAATTTCCTGAAAATGAAATATCCGTCCAAATTCTGTAAAGTAAAGACAAACAACCAACGGTACTCGAAAATTCACCAAAGAGAGAGAGAGAGAGAGAGAGAGAGAGAGAGAGAGAGAGAGAGAGAGAGAGAGAGAGAGAGAGAGAGGGCGGGGAGAGAGAGAGAGAGGAAAAGAAAAGGGAGGGAGGAGGGTAGGGGGGAGCCTTTCATCGTAGACATATCCGTTTGATCTCGTATTATGAACAAACGCGCGTTTTATAGGTAGCTACCTAGGTACACCACTTGCCATCTAAGGTTTACCGGATATAATATTACTCTTGGAACATAGAAGAAAGGACGGATGCGTGTTAACGCATAAAAAGTTTGCCGTATATTCTTCTAGAACCGACAAAAGCTATTTTCTTCCAGGAAATTTCACCGATTTTCAAGATAAGACGACAAGAAATTTTCTTTTCAGTTATCTCATCTTTTCGTCGTAAAAAGAGAAAATAGGAACGAGGAAGGATAAACTTTGATCAACGATATTAGTTTCCAGTTTTCCCCTGGAGGATACATAAGCGCGCATCGTCTCTTTACGTCTCGTAATTGAAAGTAATCGTCGAAGAATGAAGGGAGATGGAGGAGGATACAGAGTAAAACGATATCTTTGCCGATCGTTGAGCGCGCAAGAATAAAAAGTAATATCGTTCAGGAGAGATATGAGGAACGTCGTTCGCGGAAAATCCCTGAGATTCGTGAAAGCCGAATCATATTTTTCGAGGTTGACCCGAGAGATCTGGTGCGAGGGGTAGAGAAGAGATCTTGGCTAGAAAGGAAATCCTTCGCGGATGATTTCGTTGTATTTTTCGAAAAATCCCCTTGACGCGCTAGACGACTCTCACTTCTCTCGAATGCGTTTATTTCACGAACGAACGCGCGCCGGTCTCGACATGGACGAGGAGGAGGAAAAAAGGAAGGAAGGAAGAAAGAAAGAAAGAAAGAAAGAAAGAAAGGAAAGAAGAGCTTGAGTCCAACCAACGGACATCTTCTTTTCCTCGAGCTCGGTCATACATATCTTTTTCTTTCTCGCAAGATCTCCATGGAACTTATCCTTCTTTCTCTCGAGTGCTTTCGAGTACTCTAAAAAGAAAATTTTTAGACGTGCGTGCGCACGCGCGACGTAAATGTCCCCCCATTTTCTCCGAAGGATAAATATCGTCCGAGTATCGTCCTTGAGAAGGATCATCTCCCAAGAGATCCTGTGTACGTGAACGCATATCTTTCTAGGCTGCTTCTACTATCATATACTTTCTATACACTCGCACCTTCCGCCGGAGTCTCTTCTCTTTGTCTTTCTTTTCTTTTCGAAGGATCTCTCGAACCTCTATCGATCACTCTCCGCACCTATAACGTTCACGAAAGAGGAAGGGGCAAGATGGCGCAAGAAGGGAAGGAGGAGGACTTGGCCGAAGCTCGTTTCACGCTTAGTCGCTCGAAAATATATTCCTGGGTCGTTTCTTCGTCGCAACTACGGAGAATACCACCATCACCATCGCCGTCGTCGTCGTCGTCGTCGTCGTCGTCGTCGTCGTCGTCGTCGTCCTTTCGGATAACTCGTAGAAGCGTTGCAATTAAAATTTAAAGCGTCAGCGAACACCTCGCAAACCTTTCTCCATCAGGCGAAAGAATGATGGAAGAATTGTCACGGTCCGTTTTATCGAATGCTTTTTCAGTCGCTTTCTACTTTAGTGATATTGCAAATGGGCGACGCGCATTCTCTATCCTACAAAATATTCCCCTTGGATATGAGAAAAGAAGGTGAAAGACCAGCGGGACAGAAAAGATTTGTAGAACAAATTTCCCATCCAAACTTGTCCTATGTATGTAAGTACGGTCGATAATTAGGGCTCTTTGTCACAAGGATCCAAAGTAAAGTAAGGAAAAGCTTCCGCTTGAAACTACCCGATGGAACCAACTTCCACGCTAAGTAGCTCTCTAAAGATTAAACTGAGAATCAATGCTACTCTTCTACCAACGACTTTCTCTCTCTCTCTCTCTCTTTCTATGCTTCATCTTTCACCGACATGCAGAATTATAGCAGCTCGTTAAAACTTGCATAGTTATCTCTCGCATACATCGTAAATACCGTGCATACTTCATCGTTGAGATGATTTTCCAAAACTAAGAATCGTTCATGATGTTGTACCACTTTTTCACGAAAGATGATATTAAGAGATATTAACGATCCCACGTCGACTGTCCGCACCTTCTTTTTCGCGTTCAAAAAGATGGGAGGAAAGAAAGAGAGAGAGAGAAAATGTGTGTGTGTGTGTGTGTGTATGTGTGAGAAGCGGAGAGAAAGAAAAATGAGGAAAAGGCCGAGATGAAAGTTGAACCCATCCTTTCCGTAGAAAAGTACCAAGACGACGAAGCGCGCTTGAACGCTACAAGACGGTGCGCACCGACTCTTCTTTTCTCCCGAGTGTTTCCACTCTTAATTTTCCTTTCTCGGTCTTATCACCGCCGTCGTCCGAGCTGGCTTCCGAGCATTTTTCTTACTCACCGTGATTTCTTTCCTATCGT